CTTTTTAATGGGTTAATCGTGTTACCAGATCGATAGTACACTCGAACCCCTCTATATCGTAATTTCAAAACTTAGTATGTGCCACCTACAGTTGTTCTCCATCATATAAACAGCTGGGTTCCCGCGATAACGATAACAAATCCACGTAAAAAAAATGATAACGCACTGTTCCGAAGAAGAAATTTTCCTTTCATCTCCCTTCTGTTTTTGCGGTAATGTGAACAATGTAAGCAAAATTTCCGGCGTCTTTTCTTGAGACTCGATTAAAAACAACGAGAAAGAAAACTGTCTTAAATGTACATACGAGTTAACGGGTTCTTCGTAAAATGCCATATTATCGAAACGTATCGCGCTACCGATTAAAATTATCTTTCATTTCGAAGATACAGTTACCTTGAAAAGTAAATTAACGACAAGCGTGCTCAGGTAAATGAATAGAAAGCTTGATGAATAATAATGACAAATATTTTGACAACCTATATTTATGGGTGCTTTTTGTTTATTTGATATATTGTAATATGGAATCTTACACAGTTTCAATAAATAAGTTACAGAATTTAATAGTATTAGTTTTGCTAATGGATTAATTTACAGACAAGTTAATTTTGCTTATAAATTATTATTTATGATAGTTTGTTAAAACTTTGGATATAAATAATGTGTTTGTATTAATAGTTCAACTTCTGTAATACGAATTATACAGTATTATATTAATATATTATTTTGAAATATTCATCAAATAAATAAATCATATTTCACTCTTTTACAGGAATTGTCAGATCATTTTACTACTGTAAAATTCCATATAATAGTCATCAAATATAACAATGTCTTTTAGACATTCTTCATAACCTCAATAATTGTAGCAACTTGAAAGCACACACTAAATCTAAGAAATTTTCCAAATTGAACATGTTAGAAGAAAGTTTGATCACCCGATCGAGTATCTCACTTTGCACACTGAGATTTCGTTCAATGCACATTCCAAAAAGTTGAAAAATCAAATTTCCCTTAATTATACAGATCATTACATAAATCGTAATAAATGCACAACGGATTGCTGTTTCGTCTAAATTTATTGCAAAGTCGAAAATCTAACGGTAACCGCAAAAGAATGAAAAAAGAAGTATTTACTTTTTGGATACTGATAAAATAAGTGCGTCCAACGTTTTTACTCTATACACCAAAATAACAGTTACAACTTACTGCATCGCCATATTGCAAACATTACCTTAAGAACCAAGAAACGCAGAAATGTAGTCAATGTATTAACAATGACACCTTTGGTATCACGTATCCCTAATCAACTATTTCACCTTTCATATATGTACATTTCCCTACATTCTTATTACATCTTTTCACGTAATATTATAAGTGTTTACAAATCATCGTTCGAAATGTCGGAACTGTTGAGAATCGTAATAGTGCCGTAGTCACGCTCCACAGTGTGTACACAAATGTTAATCCTGTATACTTTTAGCAGTTTTAGTATTAACATCGCGTTCGTGACTGGATCTTATGGTCATCCTAAGACTTCTAAAATAATCCAAACGAACCTATCGGGGTTCTTTGACCTCTCCTTTAGAACCGGTTCCCGACCATCCTAAATTAGAGAACTCGTTACTATATCACTGTATCGCGAACGCTACCTTTGAAATGCAAGAATATAGTCAGTATATTCATAATTTCTTCGCAACTGTATATCCTTTTTGATCAACTGTGCCACCTGCATTGTTCGGTAACGCGTTTCTTCATCGAAATTCCTATTCGCCTTAGAAAATCTTGCACTCATCTAAATCGAGAGTCGGAGAAAGTCGAGCGAACGGATTGCAGGTGCATGTAACGTTGCGCGTACGATTTTTCGACGCATCCTATACGCTGCACACCGGAAAATATGATCATGCCACGCTAATCCAAGCAAGTATTCGCGAATATTTTTCGAGAAACGAAAGCGTGGAACGAAGCCTAATCCTTTCACTGCTATCGGCGATTCGTTTGTCTCGCGCTGTAGTCGTTTATGGGCGTCCAAGTAATTTCACTGATCATAAGGCATATCCGTCGCTTTAGAGTTCTTGACAGACACCGTTTAACCCCCGTGTCACTACTCGACTAACTGGTTACCCATTTTCATAGCTGTGTGCAACAATTGATCATGTTCACGTCGAAATGACTAGGTATTTGAAAAGCATTTTGGATTTTTACTCTTCGGATTCTCTCATGTAGTTTCGCTTCTAGCGTTCGGTAAATGGCACTTTACTTTTAAATTGATTTTGCGAACTTTTGAATTTTTAAATGAAGACATTTTTCAACTTAATTTTTGATAGATATTTAGATATTCTGGAATTTGAAAGTCTGGATATTTAGTCTGGAATTTAGAAGTCTGGATATCAAAATTCACAAACTTAGATATTTAGAAATTTGTAAAGCTATAAACTTACAAGCTCAAACTTTGAAATTATGAATCTCCAAATTAAAGTTTTCAAAATGACAAATTCTCAAGCTCAGATTTTCAAAATAACGAATTCTCAAGCTTAAGTTCTTAAAATTTAAACGTTTGCAACTGTAACTTAAAACATTTTTCTTGGCCATAAATCGTCGCACAGTTAATCAAAGAACGTCACAGTAAAACAATACGTTACAACATACGTTACACGAATGACAACGTAACGTTTTGGGGGTGAAATCACTCGCAGCGAAAGTTGACTTGAAAAAGAATTGACAGGAAGATAGCTGGCAACGTTGTCGGGCCAGGACCACAAAATGGTGAATGAATGATCGAATGGCTGTCGATAGCGAACGATAACCTCTGTATGAACGATAAACAACGAAGTTTATCGCGGTTCTTGTAATCCGCAGTATTGATACAGTAAAGCTACTTTTGTATTTCATTGCAACACTGTGGTAAATGAGGTAAAGTGAAAATTGAAATAATACCTTTGACGGTGGTGGGATCGAAAGTGAAACCGATCGGCTCGGGGAGTGAACCGTTATGTTATAGTTGCAGGAATCGAAGAACGTTTCACGATATTATTCATCATGTTTAGTTTTATGATTTCATTCGTCATTTGTGTTTAGCTTAGTTTCATGATTTTATTCATTTTAGCTTACTTTCGCAATTTTATTCGTCATTTTCAGCTTAGTTTCACGATTTTATTCGTCATTTGTGTTCAGTCAAGGACCCAATTTTTGATTATTCTAAACGACCTTCATCCACAAATAAAAAATGTAATTCAACAGGTTTTTTTTTTACACGCAAAAATACTTTATTATTAGTCTGATGTTTAAAAAATGCAATAGTAACATTAATTAAATTGCAATTTAACTTTCAGAGTGAAAATGTGAACTTTTAATCATATAAATGACCTTCGTAGATCGTTCTACAAGTTTTTTTCTGATCACATCAGCATTTTGATGATATAAATTTAAATGTGTGAAATGCAAATTAGTTCATTAAAATAAAATACATATTAGATCATTGAAATAATATGCATAAAGTTCGTCGAATTTATCTGGTAACTTTATTTGTTTGAGGCATTAAATGAATAATTAAATATACGTTTGAAATAAAATTTAGGTTTATTCTATACTTATTTAATTAGTTTTATATTTTGGTTTTAAGGAGTTTTTTAACGTGTACTATAGGCCACATCATCAAAGTGATGCGCTTTTTATATTTAATAGTACTATTTGAGGTTATGTATCATGAACTGTATTAAAGGAATAATATATATTTAGAATTGTATGATAAAACAAAGTTTCTATACTGTTTTATCATACAGTCAAAAGTTATGGAATGTCTATAATTATCATTTAATTTATTTAATAATTGACCACTCATAATTAATCTAAATATTTCAATTTGAAAATATAACATTTTTGTCTTTTTAGACTATATTATAACAAATTTCTTTGGTACTTTTCATTAAAATAATCTGCTAATACATAAAAGACAGTTCAACCTCGTGCATCACGTTTTACGAGTGAACCATTAATTAGTATGAAGTTCTATCAATCTTTATGAATCACAGACAGCTCAAAAGTAAGAAAATCATGATAATTGCAGAGCCCAAAGCTGGTGCAATGACCATAACCGGTACGTCTACCCTAATCGTAATGGAGTAGCAATTGACTAAACCGGTCAAATAATTGGTTCACAAGTTTCTTATTTCAAATTACGGAATTTGATAAAACGGTTTTCTTGAAATCCGTGCTGGTTTTTATCGAAAAAAAGAACTAACGCGTGCAATCGTATTCCGAGTCCATTTATTTCTCTCCCTTATTTTTCACTTTAAATCATTTATGCATTATATATTGCTACTTCAAATCTGAACAATAATTTTCATTGAAATGTCATTTTTTATAACTCATTCAAGGTACAAATATTTTCGATGAAAGAAAATTTTGATCGAGGTGCAGAATTAATGGATGTATTTAATTGTGTTTCGTCGCTTACCTATTTGTTCTTTTACTTTATTTTTAGCTTAAAATTGCACTTTACTTTAACTTTACTTTAAATTTAATTTAACTTAACGTTAAAAGCAATTTCAGCTGCAGTTACCAAACAAATAAGTTTACTATAACTAAATTTGTATGCAAGGTACAAATATTTTCCACAAAAAGCGACAAAGCGTATTCAAGTAATCCTTCCATTTTTAATTCTGAATTATGCATTACACATTCAGTATTAAAAACAGTTCTCATTGTAATTAAATAACAAATAAATAACTGTTGTCTTTTCCTAAAAAAATCGTATTTCGATCAGGAATTGGGTCCTTGACGCTAATCGAAGGAAAACCTGACGCATGCTCGTGCCTCGTGTCTCTTCCCTCTCTTTCGCCATGTTTTTCTGTTCGCCTCGAGAACGTGCTGTCTCGATGCAAAAATGCGCATTGCTATGCAAACGTAGGTGAATGCACGCGTGCACGGTATTTCTGCTCGATCAGAAACGCGTGGGCATTAAAGGTGAAACGGAACGAACGCAAAACAGGTGCTATATTTACCTTGGAAGTTGGCGGTCCTGGGTGAGGTACGCGCGATTATCTTCGACGCGTGTCCATGGAAGATGGTTACCAAATAAAATCACTGACAAATTCCGTGGCAATAAAATCGTTCAGGACTACGATAAATATCCTTTCCTTTTCCGCTTCTCAGTTACCCGAACTCACACTTTTCAATTGGCACTGTTTATTATTTACTTTTTTCTATCCTTCAGTTTTCTTCGTTAATTCCTTCCTGGTTCTACCTTTTGACGGTTCAACACACGACACTTTTCCTTTTCCAGGTTCAATTTTTGCACAAGCTTCAACCGGTTCACTTAAATCCTATCGAACGAGCGCTGTCCTACGTCCATTACTTTCAGCTACCAGCTCGGTTGATCCATGTCGCTGATCGTGTTCCATTCGGGCGTTCCCTCGGGCATCCGATAAAATTACCTTCGATCGTCAGCAGGAAGCCGCTATCTGAGCAACACGTGGAAATTATTCGTGGTTGATCGAGAGAAAGTCGCGAGGAAAATGCAACTTTTATGCTTTATTTTGCGCGAACAAAACGACAGAGACGGAGAAAATTGGACCCGCCGTTTGATCGACGGGAGACCTGTTGCGCATCACAGTTGTATTTCGTTTCTGTTTGAAACTTTTCAACTGCTAGATCCTGGATATTTTTATGCAAACGAGCAGATTTTTCGAAAATGTTTCAGTATCGAATTATTTAAACCTATCAGTTTTAACCTAGATTGTTTAAGTGTCAGACAACTTGTTGTAGTGTAGACGAATGTTTGAATGTTTGGATTGCATACGGTGATCATTGGTGGAATCAAAATTAAAATATTCGATCGTGGAGAAAATATGAGCCAGATTCGTCGCATTCGAGTTATGTGCGTCACATGTGGGAAATACAAAGCAAGGTCACTGTGGTTAGTAAAAATTTGTATCGACGAAAATAGAGCAATAAAAGTACATGCTGTGTCACCTTGTAATTTTTTACTTACATTTACAATGAAAAGTAGATCTTATAAATTCATTTCGAATGTCAGTTGTCAAAGCACTGTACTTATTGTATTTTTCAGTTATATGTGAAGGCAACGGGTACAAAAAATGAGCTTGAAACCCCATTAAAAAGTTATCTGGGTAAAAAATCAATCTTTACATACATACAATTTAAGTTTGTTTCTTATTTTTAAGGTTAACTTTTATTTGAATAGACCTATGTGTACGAATTGCATGTTGGATTTGACAGCAGTGAACTATTTATGAATTATTATTATTAATGAAGTATTTTGTATAGTTTTTGAAGCCCTTAACGAACGTTATCGATGACGATGCATACGCGAAACAATGTTTATGAATGAAAACGTCGTTTGTACACGAATGACAATCAGGAGGCACGTTCACGCGTTGTCATCGTTGATTCGTATTCATGAATGGAAGAGGAATCTCGTGGAAACGACGAACGGATCGTGCCTCGTACGAATAGCGGGATTTTTCCCCTCTTTTCCCTCCACCGTTATTGCTTTCTTTCGCTTGTTTTTCCACTTCGTCGTTGAATCCAAGGAATTATTGTATAACTCAATACCGTTCCGGTATTTTTAGTTATGGTGTTGCGTAATCGTTTCAAATACACCGCCACTCCGTAACGGTGAAACGCGATTTAAAACATTTCGAGCGAACGTTGGGAACGGCGAATCCGATTTGAGATTGTATCGAGTGACATTCTGATACGAAAAATCTGCTTCGACCACAAACTTCTTTAACATAACCCGTTAAGCTACTATGATAATCATAAACATTTTAGAACCTAACCTCTTCGCCACCATGTTCGCAAAATAATTTTTGAAATATATATGTGTTTGCTATAATCACGACTTTTTATTGCTTATATTACAGTGTTATTGTTTGTTGCAATTTAGATTTTATAAACGTTATGATGTATACAGCGTGTTGCAGTAAAATATATTGTCATATAAGTTTACGAATAAAATAAACAGAGCTATGTTGCCTATTTTAAAATTACAAATGTTCAAGATAGTCATCCACAGTTATTGACTATTTTTGCGATCACAGTTATGCTTGATTAATATTAAAAATTAGCATGTGAGAACGCCTTTGTATGTCTGTATGCTTATTTTTAAAAATTTGCTTTCTGGACAAGAGTGAACTAAAAAACATAATACGTAATATATGCAAGAGCCGTTCTTTCTATACCGATAACTTGAAAGCTGTAAATTTTGAGTTATGTTATCACACAGTAAATGAACAATACGTGTGCGGTCGTAAAGACCTTCTGCAATTCATAAATCTCTCTTTCTAGCGATTTTATCTAAATTTAAAATCAACTGTTGTTATTTCCCTAAATTTGAACCAAGTATTTGGAAGGTCTTGCTGCAAAAAGATGGCAATTTTTATTTAACGAATGTTATAAACTAATCTTAATGTCATGTACCGTTTTATTCTCTTTGAAAAAAAAAATTAACTATTTTTTGGTATGTTTCATGTTTATCTTTGTAGTCTATTTTTGTTTAGTGCAAGTTTTCAAAAATATCTTTATCTTTCGAAAGTTCGTAATGATACTTAATTGGACTTTTATTTTAAAATAGAAAATATATCTCTGTCATTTCTTTGAAGATAAGAATATAACTTTATATTTATATAATGACTATTAAATAATCCGTGACATAACATTTTTATCCACGCTATATAATTTTGTATGTTCTTTATTACCGTAGTAATTATATTCGAGTGATAAAACTATAATTATAGTTTCGTATTACAGAAATATGTAGAAATAGAACACTTAGTAAAATTTGACTCTTATATTTCAATTTTTATTGTAACTCTCTCTAAGTTGATACATATTTATTAATATTACTGATCTATAGAACAATTTCTATGAACTGTATGTAATATATCTTTAAGCAACAAAGCAGTAAAAATTATTCAACAATCTTTTTTGTCTCATAACAAAAATATCGCTTACTAAAAATAATCTGACAACTGATAGATCTCTCTGCAAATATTTCCTAAATAAATTAGCTACACTTCACATTCTGAACATTTTTGTAATTTTTTTATTCACACTAGTTGATTAATGTCTAATTTTGTTTATGTGACGTTGAGAGTTGTATCAAAAAGTTTCACTCAAAATTATGTGAGTGACCAAATTATGAGAGCCCTAACATTAAAAGTACATTTTTTATGTTTGACAAATAATATTATGTATATTGTTATCAGAATATTTGCATTTTGCTGATGTTAATATTTCATAAAAATGATTGATTCCTGAATTGAAATCAATGAATTCAACTTAATACTCATTTAAAAATTTATTGTTTTAACATAAAATCGTCAATGGAAACAAATTGCTCTAATAATTTGATAATTTACTGTCTTTTATATTCGATTAATACAAAAATTAGTATCAAAAGTGGGTGATCAATTATTAGAGACATATCATGAGAAATATATCTTATGTTCGTCAGAGATAATGTTACCTTCAATATTTCGAAACATATATTTGTAACTTGTACACATCAAAATTTTATAAAAAGATAACAGGTCCATGTCACAAGACTAATTACGAAATTAACCCTTTATTTTACGATTTCTTTAATTCTCAAAAAAATAGATGTGCTTTTCAATTCTCGAAAATAATACCAATAAGAAAATTGTAATAAACAAATATTTTTATAAGAGAAAATAATGTAATAATGCAAATTTACATTTAAAACAATTTTCCAGAATTTTTAAAAAGTTGTAATTACGGAAGATAAATGTCCTCAATAATTTTTTTAATCATGAAATTTAATATTTATTGTTGTTTAATATAAATTTACAATTTCATAGAATATTATTTCATTTCTCAGAATGCAACGAAGAGTTCAATCGTACATTTAAACTTCAATTCGACTGAAATAATTCACTTTTGTTTTACCCGTATAAACGTAATTAAAACAAGACAAGTAAAAACGAAATACAGTATGATTAAACAATTTAAATAACATTGAATGAACTATTACAATTATTTTTACATATTTGTTAAACAATATTCCATTCATCACTTCGGACTGTTTAAATAATCAAAGCTTAAACGAAATTTTAAATCGAATTTTATTATAAAGAAATAGCAGCAGTCAAATTCAGCAATCAATCCAGCAGAGTCAAATGTGAGCCCGAATTAAAAATATTAAATTTACGCTTAAAACCCTAACCCTAATCCATAACTCTTCAGTGTATCTTAGGACTTCTACGATTTTAACTTTCAGTTAATTTTTCTTCCTAATTAGTTTAATGTACAAATGGTAATTATTGTGGCTTTAACAATTTAATTACCCACTGCTCAAAAATGCCCAAATACTCATGTAAAGCATACATATAAATCACCATTACATTTTTGTATAATTTTATCAACCTTCTCTTTTTTGAAACTACCGAATCAAACGAACCAGTTCACATCATTCTCAGTTACAAAATTTGTGAAGGTGATTTTATCGAAATCTGTATCAGTTTTTATCAAGACAGAGTTAATCGCGTTCAACGTCTATACACGTCAATCAAAAACTTTATTTCGATCGCATCGAATCGTTAATTTCTTATCGAATTTCTTTCCTCCTTTTGTTCGACCTTCTTGAAATTTGTTATAATTGATTTCAATTACGCATCGCGAAGGAAATTTGAATAAAAATTCCGCAGTTAACCGATTACTGTATACATTAATTTGTTTTATTTCTCGGTTTTCAATTTCAAGGCATCATGCGCCGGTAAGTATTAATACAAAAATGTGAATTATTACCACATTGCATCCACATTCCTTTCCCGAATTCAGATCGAAACGGCGCACTGTGCAGGCACGAAAAGAAGGTTCGCGGAAGCGACAAACCAGATCGTACGATGAGAAAGATTTTCTCTTCTCACCGTTGCACTTGTTAACTTGCCCCGAAACTCGCGGCCATCGTCCGTTCCCATGAACGCGAACTCGCGACGGCGAAGTTTCTACCTACGTTCTATCCTCGTTTAAAAACCTGAAGCCGGACCAAGAACGTTTTTCCAGTCACGTGCCCGGAATTCCCTGCGAGTTAGACGTTCAAAGACGAGCAAACGCCACGCTCGATATTCGGGAATTCCTGTTTCCTGCGGACGCGCAACAAGTGAGTCAGCGAAGTCCGCGTCGCGGAAAAATAAAAAATCCAGCAGACGATGGGAACGCAGGGAACATCGACGGGGGACAATCTGCCATTTACCATTTTCCATTTCCATCGAGATCGTCTCAAAGTCCTCGGTGAGCGTTACGAGGTCACATCCGCGTACGAGTGACCGTATCTACTCGTCGGCGTGCATTCTTACGGGCAACGAAGCGTCGCTTTCCTTGCGGCGGAAACAAATTGTTTACCGTGTTTCTCGCGATTCGATTTGCTCGGAGGCGAAGATAAACGAAAGAGGAATGTATCCGGAGATAGGGGGTGAAGAAAGTTACGGGCCGATACGACTCATCGGAAAGTGTTACGACGGTCGTGGAAGGAACGCGGATCATAAACGTCTACCATGACGACTTCTAAACCGAAAAGCGTCCGATTAATTGTGCACGATGAACCCACGAATGCCAACAACGATGACGTACGCATTCCCCGGCGCTGTCGTTTCGTCCGCGCTATCATTGCGTCTGCTTTCCACCAGTGCGTGTACCGTTAATTGTGCTCGATTCGATTTCGAATCGCGGTTGCACGAGATTTCGTGAAAACTGGTAGCCACGGGAGAGGAACCGAGGCCGAGACAGCAAGCGGATCCTGCGGGGACGATGTCGCAGAGGATGACGTACGGAGGTGGACGGACACACTTCACTCTCGGACACGATCGCGTGCTGACGGCGACGTCGCGTTTAATACCGGCTCGACAAATCGGGATCGGTCGTTGGAGTTTCGCCTGGCACAAAGTAGTCTCGGCTAACCGAGCGCCCGATCCGGACTGACTATAACTGTAAACGATCACTTGTCGCTGCCAAGCTTTCCCCCACGTCGCGACGCGT